TGCCAGGTCAGATACGTCCCATGCCCACCACACTGCCCCCTCCCTGCCTCCAGTTTTTACATGAGCTCTCACCAGCGTGCGGGGAGCAAGAACAGGGGTAGAGTGGGGACAAGGTCTCAGATCCTGAGAGCTGCCTGGAGTGGGGAGCCAGCTTGGGGGTTCCTAAAACCATGGAACCCACTGGCTTTTACAGGAACCCCCACACCCTGGTGGAAGTAACATCCTTCGCAGCCATCAACAAATTCCAGCCATTCAATGTGGCCATCTCCAGCAATGTGCTGTTCTTGCTGGTGAGTGCCCAGCTCCCACCCTCCCACCTTGTCCCTTAGGAGCCAGGGACCCCCAGGCCTGGGCAAGAGGCTGGGGCACCCGGGAGGGAGGGGGATCCCTGTGATGTCAGCTTGGTATTGGTAGGGATGTTGTTTGCTTTGTTCACTATTAGTAAACAGTAAGCACTCAATTAGTGTTTGAGTGAAGGAGGCGGGTGGGCTTGCCCCTGTATATCACAAAGGCCCTGGCCTCAAGGATGGGAGGACGGTGGTGGGGCTGGGTGCAGCCTGAGCATGTCTTCCAATGTCCCTTCTCCTTAGGACTTCCATAGCCACCTGACTCGCAGCGAGGTCGTGGGGTACCTGGGGGGCCGCTGGGACATCAACAGCCAGAGTGGGTATTTGGGGCCTGGTGGGCAAGGGGGTGTGTGGGGCCGGGTTGGATGTCCATACCTGCTCCCCGCCTCTGTGCAGTGCTCACTGTGCTGCGAGCCTTCCCGTGTCGCAGCCGGCTGGGAGACGCGGATACTGCCGCCATGGAAGAGGAGGTGAGGGGGTGCTCTGGATGGGATATTCTGGGGAGGGCTTGGGTGGACATACCGTATTTGCCAGCGTATAAGACGACTGGGCGTATAAGACGACCCCCTAACATTTCCACTCAAAATACAGAGTTTGTTATATACTCGCCGTATAAGACTACCCCCTCTTCCGCACACCTTCCACACACCAAATAAAAGGTAAAACAATATCAGATTTGATTTCAACATTTATATTTATATTCAAATGCTTATGACATGCAGGAAAACTGTCACAAGGCTGTATGTAATCAAACATATACATAAATCGCGATTCGCGATTTTGCGCTATCATACTGGGTGTATGGTCGGCTGTGTGCGATTTTGCGAGTGTGGTAAAATCGCATAACAGCAAAATCGCATAACAGCCGAGCATACACCCAGCAGCGCTGCTGATGCCTGAACGGTATGTGGAATGAAGTGGGCGGGCATCGGGAGGCCACTATGGCACGGGGCAAGCACTATGGGCAGTCTATCTGAAGTGTACCTGGCGTATAAGACGACCCCCCACTTGGAGGCATATTTTTCAGGGCCAAAAAATCGTCTTATACGCCGGCAAATACGGTAGCTGCCCTGGCAACATGTCCTGGGCAGCTAACACAGAGTCAGCGCTATGTGCAAATGATGGTGCAAATGTGCAAATGATTGTGTGTGAGCTCTTGTCCCTGCCTGGCACTTAGTAAAGGCCGGATAAGTATTAGCTGCCATTCTTAACGTTTTTGTAATGGTTCTTAGTATGCGCCTGGCACTGTGCTCAGCGCTCTACACCCACCTTCTTGGCAGCACCACCAGTGTCCCAGCGCAAACCTTTCTCTTCTGCCCGCTCTTGCCTTCACTGGCTGAAGGCATCGGGATTGCCTGTGCCTGCTTAAGTGCACACATATTCACCTAGTTCTTTATTTAGTTATTGAGCGCCAACTGTGTGCCAGGCATTGTTCCTTGAGCTGGGGACACAGCAGGGAACAAAACCTTTTGCCTTTGCTTCATGACAGGTGTTATCTTTTTTGTATTTATTGTAAATGTATTTGTTGACTGTTCCCTCACTGGACTCGGTGAGAGTGGAGGAAGGGTCTGTCTTGGTCACTGCTGTGTCCCCAGGCCTGGTACACAGCAGGCGCTCATTAAGTGTTGCCCACACGTGGGGCTGGATGTGTGGGAGTGGCGGGAGTGCACCGGGGCTAATAGGGCCCCTGCCCACCACAGCCATGCCTCTGCCCCATATATACCAGATATACCAGAGCCTGCTCCTACGGGGCCTGTCCCTGGTGGGCTGGTACCACAGCCACCCGCACATCCCTGCGCTGCCGTCGCTGCAGGACATCGACGTGCAGATGGATTACCAGCTTCGGCTGCAGGGCTCCAGCAATGGCTTCCAGCCCTGCCTCGCCCTGCTCTGCTGTAAGTTCTGGGCTGGGGGCGTGCATACATGGGTGAGTGCCTCCGTACGTGCATATGTGCGTGCGTCGGTTTGCTGGACCACCGCGTCACCCAGGCCCAGCCCCCTCCCACTCTCTTCCCACAGCCCCTTACTATTCTGGCAACCCGGGACCGGAGTCCAAGATATCGCCCTTCTGGGTGATGCCGCCCCCTGAGGTAGGCAGGGCTGCTAGAGGAGGCCAAGGGCCTGACGTGTGGGGTGTGGGCACGGAAGCTTGCAGGGTGGAGTCTGGCATGTGGCGCCCACTGGCCCCTGCCATCAGGGATGGGGGCGCTTAGGTTGGCTGGTGGTAACCAGCCAGTGTCCCCGCCAGCAAAGGCCCAGTGACTACGGCATCCCCATGGACGTGGAGATGGCCTACGTCCAGGACAGCTTCCTGACTAATGACATCCTTCATGAGATGGTGAGCTCAGTCCCGGGTGGGGCGGGCAGGGGCTGAGCGCCCAGCGGGATGCTCAGGACATGGCAGGACTCAGGAAACCAGGGCCCTGGTCAGGCTCCTCTTCTGCAGAAAACCACCTGTGGCTCTCAGGACCAAGTCCCAGGCCCTTGCCGCGGCCCCTCCCTCGCCCACTTGCTCACCCATCTGGCCTCCTACTGTAATTGCTCTGGAACAGCCTAGGGCCTGTGCACCTGACACTGCTTCTCCAAGTGGAGACACATGGAGGACTGCAGGTGCTACCCCGATGGCTTTTTTTTTTTTTTAGCTGAGCCATCCTGCCACCTGTTGGCAGCTCAGCGGCAGCACAGCTCTGCCAGGACTCGAACCGCTGTTGCTCAAAGCTTGCACTCTTGAGCGACCGATGGGTTTTTACACCTATGGTTCAACAAGTGTTTAAAAAACGAGGCTAGTTTGTTACACTTGTGACTTCACAAATCCTATTGCAATGAGACTAAAGCAGGATGTCAGGCCTGCGTGATGTGAAAAATCACATTCCGCGTGCCTCCCTTGGCCTTCGGGGGGGGGGGCGGAGTGTTCAGTTTCCCCGTCCAGGGCCCCCGCATTGCTCCTGGGTGGCACTCTTCAGTGGTCTTTCTCGGGGAGTGGTGCCATCTCTGTGCTGCAGTGGCCTGGAAGCCCCCATGAGCGGCAGCAGCACCTGTCCTGCTCACTGCTGTAACCCCAGTGCCTGGCGCAGGGAGGTGGAGAGGGAGGGGTCCCAACCACCCCTGTCCTGTAGATGCTGCTGGTGGAGTTTTACAAGGGCGCTCCCGACCTTGTGAGGTTCCAGGAGTCCTGGAACCAGGAGCACACCTACCTCGACAAGCTGAAGGTAAAACCAGCCCCAAGTCCCCTGTGAACCCCTCCTAGAGGAACATGGTTCTTGGGGAGCCCCCAAGAATATATCCATGGGCAGCCTCAGAAATACTGATTTCCTAACTTGTTCCGTACAAAAGTATTTCAGCTGGAATTAATGCTAAGAAAAGCCTTGTTTTATCACATGGTTGGGGGTGGAGGATAATCACCATCAAAGTGCGCATGAAAATGTTACAGCCCCGACGACCTTGGACACTTGCACTCTGCGCTGCCCATGGAGCACGGGGAGGGGGTACTTATCTGGTTTAGAGTGTTAAGAGCAGGGGGTGTAGTGAGCTGCACTCCCAGGCCCCACAGGTAGGGCGGCATTTAAATCAGGCTTGTCTGATTTATTTCCTGCTTGAAAGTCATTCTCGGAAGACAACTTCAACTCTGCTTTGCAGGGAAACAGTTTCACATACTTGTTTTGTTTGAACTTAAAAAAAACAAAATGTAACCTGGGCTTAAAGTTGCCCCTGGTCACCTCCCACCTAGCACTGGGAGGGGGTGGCTGTCTGTTGCCTTTGGAGGCCTGGAGCTGGGTGGTCCCTGGCAGGAGGCGTATGTGGGATCCAGGCTGGGGTGAGGGTAGGATTTGGGAAGTACAGATACACCCCCAACCAACATTAGTCAGCTGGGCCTTTGGTTACTCAAGGCTCCTCTTGTTAAAATATTGCTTTAGGGACACTGTGTACTTCAGTCAGGTGAGCCCCTCTGCCAGGAGGCGGCACTTGGGCCTTGGGGGCAGCAGTGGGGGGCCAGGCCAGGGCCTCGGGGCACAGTCCCAAGGTGCAGTCTTGCTTGTTTCAGATCTCCTTGGCCAGCAGGATGCCCAAGGACCAGGGCCTGTGCCATGTGCTGGAGCAAGTTTATAGCATCCTCAAGCAAGGGAGCTGAGGGTGCCGGCCTCTGAGGACCCAGGGGCCTTCTGGTCAGACCGAGTCCCCGCCCCCACCCCTGGTGGCTCTGGGTGAGGGAGGACGGGGTAAAGGACTTCGTTTGTGGCTGCACTGCTGTGTTCCTGTGTAACCAACTGAGTTGTGCGATGGCTGGGGCTCAGGTAATAAAGGAGAAAAGCAAGCAGTTCAGGCATGTGTCGCGCCCTGGGGTGGGGGTCCCCCCCAGCACTCGTCACTGAGAGTGTATGCTGCTGTCTGCATGGTGGCGCATTCATGGAGCTGTGTGTGTAGACGGTGCTGGGCCTGACCCCAGCCTGCCCCTTCCTGGCGCTGTGGCTGTGGGGAGGGGCATCTTGGGGACATACGTCCCACGCTGGTGACCTAGTAAATGACAGCCACCCGTTGTGGGCTCGCTGTGGGAGCTGCGTGGGCCTAGCCCTGACCAGAGACCCCTAGGGAGGGCCATGAGTGTCTGCGTGAGCTGGGGAAAGGCCTGCCCTGCACCATAACCAGGCAAGAGGCTGTAGAAAGAGACATTTAATACTTCTTTTTTAAAAAATCAGGAAGACATTTCCATCTGCCCTAGACTGTGACCAAGGCTATGCTGCTTGGCTTGGTTAGGATGCCTGTGTGTCCCCCACGTAATGGTGTCCTGGGGGCTGTGCAGGGTCACTGCAGGAAGGGAATGTGAACCAGACCCGAGCCTGCCACTGAGGCAATTTCAGATTAGGCCAGGGGGGAAACAGCTGCAGGGCGGGGGTCCTACTGGTCTGGGCAGCTGCCTGCCTTGGTCTGGAGGAGATAGACGGGGACGCTGTCGACAGGGCACGGCAGCGGGCCTGGGATAGAGAGGCCCCAGGACAGCCCCAACAGCCAGGGGTCTGGGAACAGTGACTCATCAAAACCTTTGTGTTTGACCTTCGGCAGAAAGGAGACTGTGGGGAGGGAGGTGTGTCCCATGGTCCTATGTGTGGCATGTCGTGTGTGTGTGGTGTGTGTGCAGCTGGTGATGGCAGCTGGTGCCAGAGAAACGCTCCATGTGCTTGGCTGGGGGTGGGGCACCAGCAGGCAGGGACTGAGGGAAGGTAGGTGTGTGGAGCTCAGTGCCCTGCAGCTGAGGAGAGGGCCTGTCCTTAGGAGACCTGGCCCCTGAGGACCCCTGGGTAAGGCCCTCCCAGGGAGGTGGCATCTGTGGGTGAGCTGGGGCCTGGGAAAGTCTCAGGGGAATTTAAAAGCAGGGTGGGGGATCTCAGTTAGGGATCCTGCTGGAACCATCCCCTCGCACAGACTTTCCATCTCCTCCCAGTGAGGGCAGGTCAGGGTGGGCCCCAGTGTGGAGGGTGGGGGTGTGTGTGTACACGCGTGTGTACGTGCTCACCGGAGTTACCAGTCCTGGATGGGGCAGGAGGAAGTTAGTGTTTCTAAGAGCACCTTAGTGTGAGCCCCCTCAGGGCAGCAGAACCCCAGGCAGCCGCGTGGAGTGGGGAGGGAAGCCCCCCACCACTGTGGGTGAGCACTAGTGTAAACAGGGGCCCTGGCCTCCCCGTTGGCCCTGCTGCCCTGGGAGCACCGCCATGGCTGCGCTTTAGGGCAAGTGGAATGCAGGCGATCTGGACGGAGGGGCAGGCAGGCCAACGCTGTCACTGAGGCAGGGGCACCAGCACCTCCACGTAGCTGAGGGGGAAAAAGCCTGACTGGCCGTGGAGCATGCCTTCGTACCAGTTCTCGTCGATCTGGTTGGTCAGCGTGATGATGTCGCCCTCATGGAAGCCCAGCTCCCCGTCGTTCTCAGGCTCAAAGTCGTATAGCGCCTTGCAGCTCGGCTGGTCCAGGGGCGCTGGGGGTGGGCAGGGGGTGGGTGTAAGGTCTAGGCATGCAGCTCAGACCCGAGGCTCCATGGGCTCTTCCAGTGTGCAGGGTGACACAGCCCCCGCTGAGCCAGGCCTCCTGGGCCTGCTGCCTCGATATGCCTCAATTTTCCCCAAGGAGAGCCACTTCTTCCTCTTGCTCCCCAAGGTCATTGGAAAGAAGGAGCAAGTCACACGAGAAACAGAAAGGGTTCTATGAATGGTCACCACAACGCTGCTGGAAGGAGCTGGGGTGCCCAGTGGCATCAGGATGGCCAGAGCCCACTGCCCTCAGGGTGCCGCTCAGAGAGCTTAGAGCTGGTGGGTGTCCTGGGTGTCACAGCACACAGGGAGGTGGGGCTATGCTGCCTGGAGCCCAGCTCCGTCTCTGCTCATAAGGGGCTAAGAGGACCGACCACAGTGGGAGCCCACTTCTACCAGAGAAGCAGAATGAGTAAGACCCTTCCAGAACAGACTGGAAGGCAGTATTATAAACCGAGGCGGGGGACACTCACGCATGTTCCTGCTGGGGGTCCGGATGGGCTTGTCAGAAGAGCGGAAAGATGACGAAGCTGTTTGCAGACAAAGAACAGAGGTGGGCTAAGAGCACTGGGGTGAGGCCCAGTCCCATCCCTGGGGGACCCTTTTGTAGGGTGGGCAGGGGGCCCCCAGCCCCACAGTCTGGATGAAGCAGCCTGGCTCTGAGGCCCTGGGACAGCGTGGCCCTTTGCTGCTGTTACCTGTGATGGTGGGGGCCGGGGTGCAAGGGAAGCCCCCATTGGACTGCTCAGGCTCTCCCAGGTCGAAGGGCTCCCGGGCCTTGGGCTTGTATTCCTGCTTGGGGCGTGAAGAGGCTTCCCGCATCCTGAGAGCAAAGGGACAGATGTGAGCATCACAGGGCCTGATCCTGAGCCTGCCTGAGACCTCGTGTCAGGGCCAGGGAACACCCACGTGGGTGGAGGGGCCCTGGGGAGGCTGTGAGGGGGAATCCCAAGACCGGCTCCCCAGACTCGGGCATTTTTCAGGTTGCCAATCGGCTGGGTCCTCTGAACCCTGAAGTCCTGTCAGCTCCACCAGGGAACTATTTTTCCACCTGAGTGCCTGCAGGACAGCGGAGGTGGAGGAGTGGTCCCTGGGGTCAGCCCTGGGTAAACCCGCCTCCCTCAGGCTGCCTCTGGCCCTCAGGTCACTCTAGCTCTTGCCTTCGGGGACCAGAACAAGCCCTAGGAGGTCCCACTCCCTCCTGGGACCCCCCATTCCCACCCTCACAGCTCAGAGTGTTTGTGAAAAGCCAGCTCCCAGGCTCTGGACTGTGCCCCCAGTAGGGCGAGGCTGTTGCGGGGAGGTGCACAGGGCATCTTGGGCCAGCACAGAAATCTGCCGTAGCCACTCCAGGTTTGCAGGGACCCCAGGGCCACCAGGCTTTTCCCAGCTAGCAGAGCGGGAAGGGGCTCACCTCCGCTTGAGCTTGCTGGCCAGCTCGTCCAGGATCTGCACGGCCTGCCGGTGGTAGTCCAGCTGGGCATCCACCAGGGCGGAGAGCTGGCTCACCTGCTCAATCTGCAGGCAGCCAGCCAAAAATGAAGAGGGGCCACCCTCTGACCCCCATCTCCAGGCTGCTTCCTGCAGGCAGCCTTCCTAAACTACTCCAGGCACAGGGGCCTGGCTGACCCTCGAGCTGCAGCAGGAGGGTAAAGGGCCCAAAAGAGAGACCCCAAAGCCTCAGGGAGCTCCCCCACTCTGGTCCTCATTCCCCCTACACTTCCTTTATGCCCTGAACAGGCACTGAGCCCAAGAAAGCTGGCACCTTCACTGGGCTCATTTTAGAGGCTCCCCTAGGGTGGTCCCCGAGCCCATGGACGTACATCGGTCTCCAGGAGGTTGTGCATGCTGGTCTCGGCCACCTCCTTGGACTCCTCAAACTTCTCCAGGGCCTGGCGCAGCTCCTCATCAGGGATCTTGCCCTGCCGCTTCTTCTTATAGTCGAAGTCCAGGCGGCGGCCCTCCAGCTTCTTCAGGTGGTGCTGATGGCGGGGACGAGGTTTACATCGGCAGTAGGACCTCCCGGAGGGCTGCCCCCAATGCCCTGCGGCCCTTCGTGCAGCGAGTGTGCGAGGAGGGCAGAGCCTGGGCCTAGGATGGGAGGGGGCTCACTGCCTGAGTGAGGGACCCCTGAGGGCTGTACTGGGGGGTGGGCAGGGATAGACCATTGCAGCATACCTGGATCTCCTTTAGGTCTTTGTCACACAGGTTCTGGAGGGGGTCGATGAAGTTCTGCTTGACCTCTATATCCAGGGAGTCCTTCACCTCGGCCAGGCACTTCATGGATTCCCCTGCGTCTAGCAGGGCATCACCTGCAGAAGAGGGGATGGGGGGAGCTGTCACAGGAGGCCTGTGGGGACATGATACCCCCAGCTTCAAATCTGCCCCCACCCCACCCCCAGCCAAAAACATGGACCAGAATTCACAGAAAGGTACCCTGAAGTCTGAATCTGAGCTGCAGTGGCTGGGGGCCGACAATGACAGGTGTCCTCCCATGCTCTGAGAAGGAACCAGGTTTGGCCTGAACCAGCTGCGGCATGGGGGGGGCTTCCCATGGCCTTTGCTGGGCTCCTCCCTCACCATGGGGGGCACACAGGGGCTCTCATCCGGGGACTAGCCAGCATTAGAAGAGATCCTGGAGCTATGGAGGAAAGGGCCCTGTTCGCCCATGTGGGGAGGCTCTGATCCTCTGGGCCTCAGACTGGCTGCCTCCCCATGCCACATTCCTGGGGCCCTCACCGAAGTTGGACTCGCCGCCCAGCTCCTTCCCATGGCGGATCATGCACTCGCCCAGCAGGCCCTCCGACTGCGGGTAGCCAGGGTTCTTCACCTGCCCTCGGATCTTGGACACCGTGTTGAGCATCGTCAGCTTGGCCCGCGAGGCTGGAACATAATGGGCAGGGTGGATATGTGGGTGGTTTCTCCAGGAGCCACCAGGCCTGCACTTGGCCAGCACTGCCGGCTGCACCTCTCTGCCCTGGGCACCCCTGTCCCCTCAAGGCCCACTTATTTCCATTCCAAAGCGCTCCCTTGGCCCAAGGCACCTCAGTTGCCATGCCTGCTGATGACTAGGCTATGAGGAGAACCTCCAAGCAGACTTGCCCTCCTCTGCTTGTAGCCATCATGGGCAGTGGGCAGGAGAGATGAACGGCTTCTCAGGACGCCCCAGGGTTGTCTCATCCTGGAGCATGGCTCTGACTGAGACCCTCCCCTCCTTGGCCTGGGGAGTAGCACCCCAGAAGTGGCGGTGGGCAGGTACAGGCACCCTGGACATGGATCTCTGCCTGGGGTGGGAGAGGAATTGTGCTCGCACCTCTGCCCACTCGGGTTTGTCCCTGGAACACGCCTCGAATGGACACGCCTGGGTTTGCCATGTCCATCACCTCCCACTATGGGAACCAGCATTTGGATTTTCCGCAAGGAAAGGTCCTCATCTCCCTCTCATCCTAGGATACCTCACCTCATGCTCCAGAAGCAGATGTGTGACTGGGGCCTGACAAACTAGGGGTGAGAACCCAATTAAATTGGTTCAGAAAATCAGCTGGGGTGGGGGGAAGGTGCTCTTTTCTGCTGGGGCTGATGGCTATAAGGGTGATTTAAGGCTGGGATTGACACAAGGAATGAAAGCTGTCAGATGAAGCAGAAAGGAAATGCCTGACCCTAAGGATATCCTTTAGATCCTTGGATCCAGTCATGCCTGAAACCTGCATACTCCTGGGCATTTCAGTTCTGAGTCTTTACATGCCCTCTTCATGCTCTGGTAACTGGAAGATTCCTGACTGACACAGACCTGAGGAGTCAGGGGCAGACCCCTTGCAGCTGACACCCTTACCTGGGTTGGGCTGCAGGTATTCGATGGTTCTGGCCAGTACTTCCACCACAGCCTTGCTGGTAACATCCACCTTCTGTAAAGACGCAGTATGTGGCGTTTCGAAACCACCAGGGCACCCAAGGCCAAACCAGGGGCCCATGGACAGTCCTTGCCCTGCTCCCTGGCCCCTGCCTGCCTCAGGGCCCACACAAGAAATACCCACTGCTCTGGGGGCTTGCCTGGCTTCTCTGTCATTCACTACACTGTCCCCGTCACTACCTGCCTAGGGCTGGGGGAGCCCTGCTACCTGTCTAGTTCCTCCTTATAAACCTCCCCAAACCCCAGCTGTCAGAGCTGGACCCCATGGAGGACTGAGTAAACAGTGCCAGGGGTCAGATGGGGCACACAACTTCTCCTGTTACCTTCTCCATCTCTTTGAAGTCATCGTCAAGCTTGGTCCCTTCAGCTCCTCCAACCTTCTCACTGACCAGCTGGAACACAGAAGGAGAGAAAAGAGTATGAGTCTCAGGAGAGGAACCTTCTAGCCATGTCTACTGCTGGTGGGAGATTGAGGGGTTAGGCTATGCTTGATGGCTTCCCAGGGATGCTGAGCTTGGCCACTGACAGCAAGATGGGTGAAAAAGCGAGGCCCTGGCTCCAAATCCACACACCCCTTCAACCAGGGCAGGGGCACCTTCTGCTGGACGTCCTCCGTGCCCACCCTGTCAGGCTGTGTTGATGGCTCCAGAGCCCCGAGAGTGCCCCCAACCCCGCACCATGTACAGCATGCAGACCAAGCACGGCTGAGGGAAGGCCCCTCCTGGGGCTGAGATGTCCACACCCTGATGGAGGTGCCACGGTTCAGCTCTAGGTGAGGTGACCAGAGTCACCAACCCTCTTCACTCAGGGAATTGCACACTTCCCTCTCCCCACTGAATTCCTGCCTCTTTTGGAAGCAAGCTCAGGGATCACAGGGTCTGGCATTTCCCCCAAAATGCATCCTCCAGGGGTGCCTGCGAGGTGAGCAGGTCTGCAGTCCTGTGGCTGAGTGAATGTGGGAACTGCCATGTTTGACAAGAGCCGAGTGGGAGGGAAAGACCTGCCTGGCACAGGCCAACTGGTCATGGTTCCTGGAAGTTACTTCTCATGCATATGCATGTGCATACACACACATCTGAACAGCAATTTGGCACATTTAATCTCTCATGTTTAATCACAGGCATTCATGCACATGCATGCGTGTACACACACACACACACACACACACACACACACCTCCTGAGAGCTTGGCAGCAGTCTCTGCCCACCTATGAGGACCCCTCTGGGGGCTCCTAAGGACACCCAGCGGCACACGGCCTGGCCTGCAGGGGCGCTCAGACCACTGGTGCACAGGACGGGTCCACTGCCTTCTACCTGTGTGGTCTTGGGCAATCAGCTTCACTGGGCCTCAGTTTTTCCCTCTGTAGAATTGGGCGACAGGTGCGCACATGGTAAATACTGGATACCCATGCTGCCCACACCTCTGACCACTGTTACTTTCCCTGTGCATCTTGTCCCGCCAAGGGGACTGAGCAGAACTCCAGGGCAGCCCTAGGCTATCCATCTTTAGCTGCTGTGCCCCCCACCGGCAGTCGAGAGAGAACGGGACTGTGTGCCCCTGAAAGTCAGTGGTTCTAAACTTGGCTGCACCGCAGGAGGGGACTGGGCATAGTTGAGAGGACAAGGCTGCAGTGGGGGAACAGGAAGTGGGGCTGGTGCAGGGCTCAGCCTGGGGACTGTCACCACCACCTGGAGCTGGAGCTGCTTGGCTGTGTTCTGCTGTGCACCATAGGGGGATCACATAGAAGCTGCCCTCCAGCTTCTAATAAGGACTTCATAAGGCAAGCTTGGTCCCTCCTAAGCGTTTTGGGGTGTTCTATTTTATTTCATGGGACAGTTTCACTTCTTTTGATTATGGTAAAACAGGATGTTCTCAAACTCGGTGGTTGCCAGAGAGGGAAGTGAGTGAGCTGCCTGACGTGAGACACTCTTCTGGTGAAATGGAAGGGCAGCTGAAGCGCCGGGGCTTGAAACCACACCTTCCGGGCTGAGGGCATTGGGGCCAGGCAGTCTGCTCAGCGCAAGGCAGTGCAGGGAATGATTCCCCCAGGGAAGAGCCCCTGCTGGCGGGCTCACCTGCCTCCTTCCTCTGAGGGAAAGAGCTCAGGCAGGCCCCGCAGCCTCTTCCAGGCCCCCTGGGAGTGTCGCCTCTCCATCTCCCCTGGGAATCTGAGACTCCACTACTCTGGCCCCCAACTCGGCCAGATTTGCCTGGCCATCCTTGCACCTGGGCACCTGAGAGGCCTTGGAAGAACTGCTGGGCTCCTACCAGTCTCCCCACCCTACCCCTGCCTGGGAGCTCTGAGCTCAAGTCCCATAGGCGGTGGCTGATTGTCCTCCATGTCCCTTCTTTTCAAGGTTCCATCTTGCAACAGGCAGAAATGGATAAAAAGATGACAAGAGGTCAAAAGGAAATGGGAAAACCAAAGAAGCCACATGTGAATCCAGTAACGAAGGGACAAAGTGCCGAGTGTGGGGCTCCCCAGGAGGCACGGACCATGGCCTAGTGGAGAGAAAACCTGAGTGGTCTATGGGCAGAGCTGGGAGACATGCGTGGGTTACAAGGAAGCACCTTTGGGTGGAAGGAGAGGGCTTGTCTGGGGGCTGCCTAGGGGCTAGTGGCCAACCCTGGATGCTCAGGGGTCAGGACGCTTGCTGTCTGAGTGGAGGAGTCATGGGCCTGGGGGTACCCTGTCCATGGGGGAGGCCACCGCCCCAACACTCCAGTCCTGCTCAGGTTTGTACACGTCTTTGGACCTGACAAAAATGGCAGATGTTGCCGTGGAAATAACATGTCTACTATAGCGTCTGCATCCTAAATTTATAGCCTGCCTCCACACCCTCTTGCTTGGTGCTCCCTACAACCTGATTGTGTTACCACACCGGAGAGAGGAAACTGAGGCACAGTGCCTGGCGGGGCCCAGCAGGCTGAGACTGAAGCCTGCTCTTCCTCTCCCATCTAGTGAGCAGCTGGGGGCCCCACGAGCTCACGGTGTGCAGGGAACGTTCCCCGCTGACTGCAGCACCTCCTGGGGGCTGGCAGGGTAGATGGGTGACCACTGCCTAATCTTTCGCAGGGCTGTGACCTTGGTGGTGTGTGAAAAACAATGCCTCTTGGGCCCCCCCCCGGCTAGGTCACAGCCTGAATCACCAGCAGTGAGCCCCACAATGGCTGCTGTTGTGAAAGCCACACTGGTGCCAACACAGGGCCCAGCCCAAGCTGGAACGTCCTTTGAGACTCTGCCCCAGTTCAGGTGCAACCCATGGCGAGGAGTCAGTGTGGGAGAGGCTGCCACCCAGTCTAACATGGCGGTGGCCTCTTGCCTGCTGGGTGCTTCTTGGGTCTGTGAGACTGGCTCCTGGTCTCAGATCCCAGCCCTGGCACTGTGCTCTCTGATGCCTCATCAGCCTGGCACTGCCTGCATGCCACATTTCACTTTCCACCTGGAACTGTGTCTATTTTGTCTGTCTAGCATGGATACAAGTCTGTGAGGAAAGGCCACACCTGCCTGGTTGGTGGCTGTATTCCTCTTGTGCTGGCACAGCATGGGCCTCAGGCAGCACTCAGTGACTGTGTGCTCCACGAAGGGCCAGGAGCACGGTCTCTTCCAGGGGAGGGCAGAGGGGGAGAGGCTGGCCAGGTGATGCCAAGTGCTGCTTTGTGACATCTCTGGGCATCCACCTGCCTGTGTTTGTCTCTTTTTAAATGGCTTTATTGAGGTATGGCCTAGCACATGACCCACCCACAGTGAGTGCACACTTTGATGAGTTTCAGTGACAGCATCTCGACCCAGCATCAGAGCCGCACATCCAAAGCTACAGGAAGCTCCCTCAGGCTGTCTCTGGCAATCCTCCCCCACACCAGGCAACCCCTGTTCTGTCTCTCTCTAGAGCAACGGTTCTCAACCTTCCTAATGCTGCGACTCCTTAATACAGTTCATGTTGTGATGACCCCCAACTATAAAATTATTTTCGTTGCTACTCTATAACTGTAATTTTGCTACTGTTATGAATCGTAATGTAAATATTTTTTTTTGTTTTCCCATGGTCTTAGGCGACCCCTGTGAAAGGGTCGTTTGACCCCAAAGGGGTTGCGACCCACGGGTTGAGAACCGCTGCTCTAGAGGTACCTTTCCTGGAAACGGCACAGATAGACTCACACCATGTTAGTATTTTTAACCTTTGGGAAGAGGGTGCCCTGCCCCCAACCCAGGCTGCAGGGTGGGGTCTGCAGCTCTGTGTTCCCAAGTTCAAACTGTGGCTCAGACTACAGAAGTGGTTACTGCCAGTGAGGGAGTAAAAGAGGATCCCAGTCCTGTTCACATCCCCCCATGCCCAGCCCATTCAGGCTACTCTCAAGGGAACCCCCAGACCTCATCCCTCATGGACTCTGGTCATATTTATGACATGCCGACAAGTGACTGCAACAAACAGACTTACTCAGGCCTATTTCAGGGTCTTGAATTGTCTGATGACAGCTTTGACTGAGCACCCCAGGAGTGAGCAGGCCTGGAATGGAGGTGGGGCTTCATCCCACAGCACCTGTGATTTCTGTCCTCACGTGCTGGCCCGTGGACACTAACGGTACAGACTAATCTGAGAAGGGGGCTATTCTTTCAAAAACTTGTGTTCTTCAGTGTTCTAGACCTCTGTCTTTAAAGAGGAGCAAGGACTCTGACATGTAGGAGAGAAAGAGAGAACATGCAACGGGACAGGCCACAAAAGGGACTGAGAAGGTGCTGTGTGCCAAGGGCTGGCAGGGCAGCCGCTGGAGGAGCAAAACAGGAAACAAAGGCAGGACAACCTTTTACCCAGAGGTGCTGGACAATGGCTGCCCCTCACAGGGCAGGCACATCTGCAGTGGCCACTTGGTGGCAGCTGGAGGACCAATTTGAACCCTGCTGAGTGGGACGGCGGTGCCAACCGCAGGCCTCGTAATTGAACCATCTCAACAGAGAAACCTGATCAATATGACATGGAAAATAAATGGGCCAATCTACAGGCTCTGTGACCCAGACAGATAATTTGCTCTGATCTGATGAATTAAGAGTTTAAGGGGAAAAAAAGGAGGAGGAGGGAGCTCGCATGGATGAGTGGGGAGGAGGGGAGATAAGCAGGGCTGTGTGGGGCCTTGCTGTCTGGGATGGGTGCTCCACGTTTCCTGCTGAACGTCCCCGCACTTCGTCCAGCCATCCTGCTCTGGGAGACCACATGTAGTGCTTGATGACCGGTTAACAGCCAGGTCTCCTGTCCTCTCCTGGCCTGGGCCAGGGTCTAGGGGCAGCCTCCCCTCCGGCCCTTTGCCTGGCTGACTTCTCCCTGCCTGTTTGGGAGTACACTAGGGTGACACTTCCCACCCAGGGCTAAGGAGCAGCCTCCTCCTCAGTGTTAA